TGAAACAACATAATATCACAATGAAGGAAAAAAAAAATTAACACAACTGCTTTACTGCTTATTAATATTTAAAAAACGACATCATAGAGAGGACTCCAGCAGACCCTCATGACTGTATGGCCAAATTCAAGTCTTTAAAATTTCAGATAATTTGGCTAGAAAATGCTACTTGGTGCAATAAATAAAAAACAGAATATTTATGAATTAATAAATTAAATTAAAATTAAATAAAATGTTTTCTTAATTTTTATTAAATATATATATATATAAAACTTTTTGCAAAAAAACGGCTAAGATCCCAAGAAAACATCGTACATCCAAGTGTTACCGGTTATTGTAAAAGAAAAAATGTAATGCTGGTATACCCTTAAACAGAAATAAAAAAGAATGTCAAAGCACACATACTTGTAGAGCTAGGTCCACCGCTTCCTCATATAGCTCCATAATCTTGTAAACCAAGACGCAGGCCTGCAGGTACCCATGTTCGGCACAAAGCCGCAAGGCGTATTTTAAGTCGTAGTGGATGTCAGTGACGTGGGTTCCCGCTTGTTCAAGGTACCATAACAGGGCATCTGGCTTGTGTTTGGCATAAAGCGACAGTAAGTAATTGTGAATGGCCTCGTCTTTGACATCCAGCTCATACACGCAAAACTCCATGTACCGGATGGTCTCAGTTATCTGCTGCATGCTGCCCATCTGGCTGTAGTTTACCAGAGCTGGGATCAGATTCTTCGGATCCAACCGGTTTCCCATCAGAATCCACGCATCGACCACCTTTTTGGGGATGTGCTGCATAAGGACCGGAGAGAACTTGTAGAAGAGCTTGTCATCGCAGTGTTTGGAGAGAACATCTAAAGCTGCACTGTAGTCATCATGCTGGCAGTAATGAGACACAACACGCTCATAATCTTGCATGATGACTGAGAAATACACCATGTTATCCACGTCGCCGTGGCTAGCGAGCAGGTCGTAGATTGTGCTGCGGTTGTTGTAGAAGCAATCTTTATGTTTGGGGCTTTTAAGAAAGGTGCGGAACTCTTCACGGGTCTCCAGAAAGAGGTGTTGCTTGCCGTCGTCGGCCTCCAGCTGACCGAGCCGGTTCAGATAGAGTTCGGTCAGCCAGGTCACCAGCAGAGTGATCTGAGTCTTCTCACTGGGCTTCAAGCTGATCAGTTTCTTGATCAAAAACTCTTTCAAGGCCTCCTCCTGCTTGGCCTCAATGAACTTCAGCGCAATCTCCTCAAAGTAATTCTGAGTGAGCGCATAGCATTTGGCGCTCTCCAGGTAGCGCTTGTTCTGGAAGCAGTGCTCCGCCTCCTTGGCAAGCACCATGTCTAGGCATTCTGGTCGGTCCTTGCAGTACTCTTTCGCCAGATCGAACTTATTCATGTTCATGTACATCTGCCAAACGTCCCGCGCCTCTCTCTGGATGTGGTAGCGAAACACGGCTTTCTCTGTGTAGATCCACACGAGCCCCGTGACGGGATCTTTGATCATCTTTTTTAGGGTGCCGAACTTATCTGGAAATACATCTTCATGTACAACTTGCCCGTTCAGAGTGCAGATGCCCCTGACACGGTCAGGAAGCAGCAGCAGGAAGTGAAACTGGGTGAGTACTATAGAGATCGGCTTGACGAAGTTTAAATCAATGTCTTGTGTGTATTCCCACACTTGAACGTCACTGAGTAGGGAGTCGGGACGCACGTAGTCCAGCTGTCCATACAAAACTCCGTTGCCCATCATCCATGCGAAGCTCTTGGGGCAACTGCGCAGCTTTGACGTGTAGAATGTAATCTCGCTGTAGCCCATGTTGACAGGAAACTCCTGGAAGCTAGGTAGGAGATCCTGGTTCTGAGCAAAGATGGAGCTGAACCCTTGCTGCTCAGATCCCTCCGCCAGCTTTCCTACAAACTGGAACAGCCGTTTTCTTGTGGTCGCAACGATGAAGGACTTGGATTCCAAGCCACGTTCCACTTCGAGGCAACATACCGGAGCTGGCTTGCCATCCTCCTCCAGGGAATGAACCTGTCTGAAGAACTGGTCTGGGTTGGTGTTAAAAAGACTGCCCTCTGAGGCAGAAATCTCAGCTTCAAAGATGATTCCTTGGCTGGTGCCGACCAGAATCGGCCCAGTGTTGGTCTCTGAGCCAATTAATTTGTTCCAACCTATACTTTCAATCAGGTGGCCCCTCCAACGTGATAGACTTCGGACCTTCTGAGTGTTTCTGTTTAGGTATACACATTCGTTTGTGGTGAGGCTGATGACTAAATGTGACCCTGTGAGATAATTGAGAAAATGTCATTTTACAGGCTGCATTAAAAAGAAAGCATTTTAAGCAGATCAACAACGAATCACATGTTTTAAAAAGCTAGGCCTGAGCTTTTGATCCTGTTTTCACCTGATTCATTTCGGGTGATTCCATTATTCAGTCAGCATTAAAAACAAGTGTAAATGGGGTACAAAATGTTCTGTGATCCGATCACTGAAACCACTTAAGGAGGTAGAAATGCATCAGATTTGGATTGTTAAAACTGATCCATCTAATGAGCCTAAACTACCCCTGTGCTGAAGTGTTTTTTTTTTAAAAAATTATAATTCTTTATTTACATTTATAAATGTAGCCTTTCTCTAGTTTATAAATGTAAACATTTTAAAAAGTAATATTCCTATTTTATATAAATAATATTTTTAGTGTTTATTTTAAAATATATACTATGTTTTTATTTACAAAAAAATTACTAGCTAAAAAAAAAAGAAAAATTAGTCAAGCATTTAGACCAAACTGACCAGTTTAAAAAGTCGACAAACCTATTCACCTGTCAATCAACCACTTAGCCAAACAGATGCTATAACCTTTACTGGTTACAGCAATAAACAAAAGTAACCCTCAGATTAAATAAACATATGACACTATAATTTTATATTTATAAATATAGACATAAGGCATATAAATGTACATTTATCATTTAATTTAAGATCATATAATAATGGAATTTGGACTTAACATGGAAAATGCATGTTATTATCAGGTTTAAACCATTTGCGATTGGATCACCTGGAACAGAGCTTAATACCAGTTGTAAACAGAGCATTTGTTTCTCTCAATGACACGTATTGCAAAGCTTTACATGATGTAAAAAAATCATATCAGAGTTTTTTTTTTGTGCATCCGTTTCCAAATATTTAAAAATGTGAAAATATATGGTGGCCAAACTGAATTCCTCAGTTCACATCCGTTACGCTACTTTGGGATGCTTGATGCTTCTTTTGTCATTCTAATTTCAAGGGAAATCAAATCACTTATGTGTCTAATAATGACATCTAATAGATGTCCAAAATGCATTTAAATCCCACTACAACAAGGTTTGAACATCGACATATGATTACCTGTAGGATCCAGGAAAAGTCTGTGCACTTTGCCATCATCCTTTCTTCCCAATTCAATCTGATTTGGCTGATCAGGTTTTCCAAGATCAATTCTGAAAAGTAATGTGTTTGTCTATTACAACATTTTAAATGCTGCTTAAATAGGAATCAATCCTACTTGTTTAAGGCCATATGTAAATCAAATCAGTAAATTAATAATTGATTAATTACTTTAACACAAATAAAATGCAGATTAGGTGATTTTTATCCTATTCAGCAGATTCTTTATATGCATTTCAAAGAGAATTGCCTTTAATGGTCCACATCCTCACAGCTTAGTCCTTTTACCATTCAGACATTACACACATTAATCACTCATTGCATGTACATAAAACTAATCAATGCAAAACTTATCAACCGCCAACCGTTGTTGATAACACAGCCTGGCAACTTTACCTCAGCAGAGTGTCTTTCCCCAGACTCATGCATAACTGGTTGTTGCACACCGAGAAGTGGTTGATTTTTTCTGGAGGAGAGAAGTCGATGCGCTGCTTGTTGAAAATGGGTTTCTCTTCTTCTAGCCTTACATTCACAAAACCTGTGAACGAAAAAGTAAATACTACAACGTCCCCAAATCATAATGTTTGCATTGCAATTTCCTAAATTGTGTAGGTTTGTACCTGAATGAGTAATCCCGATGTTGGCTGCTGACACACGGCTGTGTTGACGGATATTCTGAGAGTCTTCATATTGATCCAGAATAGATGCCATTGCAAATTATGCAAAAATATATATATATTCACAAAACTACAGTACTTACAACAAATACTAAACCTGTCTTTACATTGCAGGTAAAAATTGCATTGTAAGGTAACAACGTTATCTCTACCAATTGTTCCCAGCCATTACACGCTAGCATGTGAGCTAAACGTCCTGTTCAGGGGCTGTTTTTACTGCCAACGTCCCCGTTGTGTACTAAATACAAGATAAAAGTGATAAAATAAAGATATAAAATAAAACTAACTGAGCTTCAAATTATATTTTATCTATCAATAATGACAGCACTGAAAGAGCGATCTATGTTGTGAGCATTGCTGTCTTGGTCAGCTGATGAATATCATGTGATTACAATGACAGAAACTTCACTGCTGTTCTTTATCTGTCCACGTAGTGGCGCTGTTTTGTTAAGGATTGTCAGTACTAGAAATGATTGGAATTATGCTTAATTTGTGTTGTTTATTTTTGTGCTTCAGTTATTTTTTATTTATTCTGATTTATTTATTAATCTAGCATGGCAGTCCAACATCCGGGCCCAAAGACAGTGGTTTAAAATTATACACATCATTTTTATATATACAAATATTTTTATTTATTTTGTACAGTTTTGTTAAATAAAAATGAAAATGCAGACTGTCTCTTTTTTAACATTCTATTTAAATGACCATGGATGCATTTAATATTTAAAGAGTCTTTTTTTACTCTTTAGAAAAGGCTTGCAGTTTGTTTCATTGAGATTTATTTGGGATTAAAATCGTTAACGAATCAATAATGCCTTATCTGTGTTTAAAACCAAAGGCCCGTGACAATGGTGGGCGTGGCTATGCAAAGTCGAGCCGATTCAAAAGGCAGAGAGAGGTCCCGTCACAGATCACAGAGAGAGTCAATTCAGCTTTTGAGTCGAGAAAGTAATGAGTCACTCATCAGTCTCAACAAAGACGCCAATCAATACTGTGGAGTTCAAAAAGTTTTCCTGAAGACGTTTCTTCTTGGCTTTAATTGTTGGACATGCCACCTCAAATGGATTACTTTTACCACGAGTCAAGAGTTCCGTCGGTGTGCTTGGAGCAGGACGACGCGCTGGAACCTGCGATCAGCTGTATGATGGTTGGGGATGGCGCGGTTGGGAAGACTAGTATGATTGTCAGCTACACCACCAATGGATACCCCACGGATTACAAACAGACGGCTTTTGACGTCTTCTCCGGTAAGTGTATGATCTTTGACCCCTTCTAGCTGATGGTGGTTCATTTACAGTAATTATTGATCGTGAGGATGAAAACTTGACTTTTTTTTTACTTCTGATTATTCAGGACAGGTTCAGGTAGATGGGACCCCTGTGCGGATTCAGTTGATGGATACGGCTGGTCAGGTAATTGAACAGTTTCATTTAAAAAGAGTTAACATTTTAAAAATGGAAATGTCTGTAAATTGTAAACTTTGTTTAAAGGTCTGTACACTGTAAAACAGTATCATTAAGTTAGACAACATATGTTTTAAGCTTTAACTCATTCAACTTTTTTTACAAGTTTCAACTCGTTTTTTTAAGTCAGTTTAATGTAATTTGAGTGGAAATGACTTAAAACATTCAAGTTCATTGTACTCAATTTAAGGCAGCCACCGTTTTTACAGTGTAAACTTTATTTAAACGAGTGTAAATCTTTCAACGTTTTACAAAATAAAGTGTCACTTTAAAAAAAGTTAAACAAAAGTCTATTAACGTTGTCAAGTGTTCTTATCTATCTTTGTCTTTTGCCTTGCAGGAAGAATTTGATGAATTCAGATCTCTGTCTTACGCACACACGGATGTCTTCCTGCTCTGCTTCAGTGTGGTTAACCCCACATCATTCCAGAACATTACCAAGAAATGGATCCCTGAGATTCGTGCGTGTAACCCATCCTCCCCCATCATTTTAGTTGGAACACAGTCAGACCTTCTGTTGGACGTTAATGTTCTCATAGACTTGGACAGATACAAGGTCCAACCCGTGTTGAGCTCACGGGCACGGAGCATCGCCGAGAAGATCAGGGCCGCCGAGTATGTGGAGTGTTCGGCCCTGACCCAGAAGAACCTAAAAGAGGCCTTCGACGCGGCGATATTCGCGGCTATTAAACACAAGGCCAGGAAAGTCAAAAAACGGAGACTGTCGGACAGACGAGCTAAAGCCTTTTCCAAATGCAGCTGGAAGAAGTTCTTCTGCTTCGTCTGACCTCGTGGGTCACGTTGTGTGAACTGTTTAGTATACGAGACTGTATACGAGATATTAATTTATTTTGAACGATGTGTTTACCTAGGGCCATTTAGCTTTATTTTATGGGTGGAGTTGTTTGATCTGTGGGACTTCCCAGGAAATGTTACAGTGACATTTGAGAGGTGTTGCGTTGCTCAACACAACGCAATTGTTTTAATCGTTTAACCTGTTTAAGTAACACATGCTGTAAGATTTATAGACCCATTATGAAGAAAGATTAGAGAAAACTTCTCTTTATTGTTCACAAAGAGCACCCACCATATGTAAATGAATGAATTTGCATGAGCTGGTTAGCTGCCTATTCAAAGCTTGAATGGCGCTCACGTGGATGCGTCTCTGATGAGTGGGTATCTGTCAAATCTCTTTTGTCTCAGCCGCTACTTAGACAGACTCTTTCATATGCAACACCCCAAACTAAAGCCGATGTGTGAGTTGACTCCTCTTTAGGTGCTTGTGACCAAATAAATCCCACGTCACGCTTACAATGATTCAGCCTGTCCTCCATATAAATCTTAGCTGGGGATTGTCTTGCAAATCGGGAAGATGAGATTATTAGGCTTGTGTGAAAATGGTTTCCTACATCTGGGGAAAATTTGGCAAGGTTGTTCCTGGTTTGCTAAGACTGGTTTAGCGTCCTCTCTTGTGCAAATGTATTGTGAGAACACACACACCAATGAAAGTATAGCAGACCAGCCCGTTTTTTGGAGCCATAGCTCGGTTATGTTTATTTTTTTAAATCTTTTACTGACAGCATGTACTTCTCGCAGAGTAAGCAGTGCTGTCTTTGTTATAAATGTGCTTCTTGTGGAAGATATCTTTTTTTAAATGCTGTTTGTTTTTAACAGTTCTGCTTTAACAGTTGTTTTAATGCATCAGGCTAGAAGGATGTACCACTTTCAACATTTTTTCTGTTCGTCTTCACTACGGTTTTGCCTTTTGATCAAATTCAAGCAGCACTTTTAAACGGCTTCTCCTTCAGTGTTTTTATGCGTCATCTAGAAATAAATAAAAAATACATTTCCAATGCTGTTTTTACAATGCAACTATCCTATCCAAGTCTTTATCCTGCTTTAAGTGTTATATGTGAACATTGTTTATTTACATAATCTTAAAATGTTTTTCTTAAATATCAAATAAATGAAAATAACATGCTGAAATTGAATATTGTTTCCTAGTAATTTTTCGAAGAATAGTTGAGCAATAATATGACCTGTTATCACAGACAGGGCTTCGATTAAGCCAGGATTAGTTCAGTTAGGACATTTTTAAGTATAACTTTTATTAACATGCACTAGAAAAAAAACATTACTGGCTTGCGTCTTGAGAATTTTTAAAATGTCTGTGCAAGTCACTCGCTTTCAATTAAAACTGCTCAAACATGCATTAATCCGGGACAAGCTTAAGCCGTCTGTGAAACCAAGTTGGTACACTAAGATTTTTTCATGTTTTTATCTTTTCTGTTCAACAGGGCTACATTTATTTAGTCGTAAATACAGTAAAATCGTGTATAGTGAAATATTAATACAAAATAAACATCTTCTATTATATTTTAAAATGTAATTCATTCCTGTGACGTGTCTTCAGTAACCTTTGAAAACTACTTCTGATTTCCTGCTCAAGAAACATTTCTTATTATTATTCAAGTCAAACAGTTGTGCCGCTTAATATTTTGTGGAAACCGTGATACATTTTAATGAAACTAATGAAAGTTTAGAACTGTGTTTATTTTAAAATTCTTTTGTAACTTTAGTAATATATTTTCTGTCACTTTTGATCTATTAAACATATACTCGGTGAATAAAACTATTACTTTCACCAGTTTAATTCTAATTACAATGAACTGAATTTTATTAAATTGATTCTGATTAAAATATTTAAACATTTTTCTGTGGTTTTGAGAAGAAATACTGTTTTGCTAGGACATGCAATGTGCTACTAAATTATAGACATAGCAAACAAATGTTATAGAGATCTGAATACGCTCCCCATCAGCATAAGTACTTGATGTAAATGGTTCTACAAATATCTTCAGAGGGTGTAAATGAGACACACAAAGAAGTGTCAGGTACTGAAGGAATATGAATGCATTGTGAACTCACAGTTCTCTGTTCCGAGGTCTCATGCTGTGACTTTGAGCTGAGCTCAGCTGAATGTGGGAGAGGATGTCACTCGTGTACCCTTGAAGTGTAAACAGAAGACAAAGGGCTTGTTGCCTTCATTTGTACTGTTCAAACTACTTACATTTAGATTTCAGTTATGATGCCTTGACGTTTTCTTAAAAATCCCTTTCCAAGGCCTAAGATTAAAGAAAATAAACAAAAATGTTAACAAAACCTACCTAAATCCCTCTTTCTTTCTTTCTTTCTTGTTTATTTTTATAGCATTCAAACTTTAAAGCTTTTTTAAAATGTTGAACTTTTCTTACTTTTCTTTAACTTTTTAACTTGTCAAACTTGAATTTTTTAGTTCAGATCAGAACTTTTATACTAACTGTTTACTTTTAAACTCAGATCTCTTAAACACTAAACAGTCATGCTGAATCATTTAAGTGACAAAAGCCATGTAACAAAATTGTCATGGGCAAATATTTATTGTGCCAATTTGCTACGGTAAGCCTAAAAACAATGAATCACTTCCACTGTAGGGCTTTACTCATTTGACCAGAAGAGCATCCTGTGAGTTGTACAATTTCTGACTAATTTCTAATGCTGCATTGAATTGAACCAATATGAGGGCAAGATAAGGTGTTACCGCTCCTAACAATATGAAAGATCAAATTACGGATGACCTCATGCTTGCTAGACCACAGTCAGTATGAATGAATGGAATCAAACCATATACAGTACATGAAGAGTTCAGATGCAAAAGCCTCTAAATGCCATTTGAAATTTTCTTCTTTAATGATGATTTTTATCAAACTTGTATATTTAAGTTCAGTGATTTCACTTAAATGGCAATGATAATTACCTATTAATTATTATTTAAGTGAAATTACTGAACTTAAATATACAAGTTTGATAAAAATCATCATTAAAGAAGAAAATTTCAAATGGCATTTAGAGGCTTTTGCATCTGAACTCTTCACATCTATATTCTATGAGCAATTATAAATTGTTTTATTTCATTTTATTATAAATGAAAAACTGAAAGTATATTCAATTTATAGTCTGTTTTTTAGGCAACTCAAATAAGGGACAGAAAATTTCGAAGTTTTAATTAAAGGTATACTGAATACTTAAGAAATACTCCAAAGTGCAGGGAACTACAGGAAAGCAATAAATAACGAATTTCTATAATTAGCCTGACACGAAGTAATTAAATTAATTCACTTGTAAATTCAGCCATGTCCACACACACCCACATTTCCATTTTTGTAGAAGATGCATTTGTGTTTTTGAGTCTAGCATGATACCGCTTTCCACATGTTGAGCAACAGAGGCCAGGCCTGACAGGTTTAGGTTCCCATGAATGGTGAGGTGTTCATCTCACTTTGTGGTTAAAGGAACGGTTACTCACCCCTTTGTTAAGTTTCTTGCCCGCCCCCTTTCCCAGGGCTCAGACTAAACTGACTTGTGCCTTTTCTGGCAGACAGCCAGTTTCACTGCTGTCACATTTACCTACAGGCCTCCTGAGAGGAGACAGGTGTATAGTCACACACCAACCTGTTCCTGGTCAGCTAAATCCCATGTTACTCTTATTGCCAGAAGCCGATTGGCGGACAAGATGATGAATAGGATGAATAGGCAGATTGTATTCCTTATATTAACAATATTTTCATTTGAATCTTGTGCTTTCAAAATTATATTGAACATTAGCACCAATTCACCCATTACACCCATTGCGTGCATAACTTATACTAGCTGCTATGGCATTTAGGTGTCAGGGGGATTTGTACCATGATGCTATAGGGCATTTCAAGATTTTGCCACGTACCAATATCATTTAAGAATTATTTATATTCTATAATAGTATTCACTCATATTTCTAATTAGATTTAATTTTTAGATTTTCCATTTTCAGTTATTTTAAATAATGAATGAGTGTGTTGAAAGTTTGTAACATTATTTGGTGGCTGGTATGGCACTTGTTGCACATTGCAGTAAGCTAGATTGATATTAGAATATCACTATTAATACACTCTAAAAAATGCTGGGTTGTTTTAACCCAACTTTGGGTCAAATATGGACTAACCCAGCCGTTGGGTTAAATTTTTACATTACATTTTTAACCCAACATTTCGGGTTTGTCCATATTTGACCCAAAATTGGGTTAAAACAACCCAGCATTTTTTAGAGTGTAACAGCTGGATTGCTAAATTGCATGTAATTGTAATTTTTATTGGTGCCTATACCCCCAAGACTCTGATATTGCGACCCGGCTCCATGGGATTTATTTGACCAATTTATAATCTGCCAATTAAAAAAAATTTAGTATGATAAGTTAAAAAAGTAATAGCTTATTCTCAATGATAAACATAATTTAAGTTATCATTCATGTCCATAGCACACATTTTGTAGTAAAAGTTAATAGCCAAATGTAATACTTTTTGTTCAACAAAGTAATAAACAAAGTATGAAAAATAGTAAGAGTGATGTTTGTCTATATATATATATATATATATATATATATTAAAATTAGACTTACACATTGACACTTATAAACGGTCTTCGTGAAATTAAATTACTTAAGTGATGTTTTACACCAAACTTAGAACTTAAATGAATCTTTGTAATTACAGCAAATATTGTTGTGGAGAAGATCCCCCTAGCAGGGGGAAAGTGTAATCCAGAAAATAAAAGTTGTGATAAGGGACAGTTCGAGGGCTTCTACTTGGCTCACAGCTGTTGTCTACAGAACGGCCTGTAGGCAATAACGTTACACACTCCCACACTGACTGTCATGTTTATTTGATTCATCCCCAGTTTCGGGTGTGTGGCTTATAAGCTGTTATGGTTTCAGTTCTCACACATGTACTTCAAGACAGAACCCTGTTAAAGCTGTTCCTGGTTGAACTGACAGATAACTGGTAAGCAGTCATGTGATCCTGTGAACAGAGATTGCTTGATAACGTCCATGATGGATTGCTTCATAAGTGAATGACAGTTAATAGGCTACATGTCTTTCCGTGCATCACCAATGTCTGTCTTCAAAAGATTCGTGCCACTCTGATCCTCAAACTGTTCTGCTTTCACAATACTGATGAGCTGATAATGACTTTAAAGATTTGATATAAGCCTTGATTGGACTGTTCAATGTGATGGTATCATTCTGACCATTGAGCTAAATCAATTGGGCTGTTCTTATGTCATTGATATGCCACTTTTGTCCATGTTACAGTTTAACCTTTTGAAACCCATTGAGCAACGATCTGCTGAGTCTGACCAACAAAAAAAATCAATTTTGGTCAACATAAACACAAAGATGCAATCATGACAGTGTTACTGATATTTCACTTTACTATATTTTGATTTCCATTCAT